TTGGTCAGATTGTAAACATTGGTTTAGAGTTTTTCCTGTCATCATCTCTGTGCTTTGGGAAACGTACACAACAAATTTCAAAAGGAAAATCTTTAGGAAGAATAAAAGGTAAAGGTAGGAAAAGAACTAGGTTAAGAGAGAATCAAATTCGAAAATACATTGTCACAGTTACGTTTAGAGATTTTACCGGGTTACAAAGTTAGATCTGTGTTACAAATATTTTTAAAAGGTTTATAAAACAGTTTTAACGAGTAATTTTGGAAAATAACAATTAATTCATTTTTAGTAAAAACATGTGTTTTGCTATTTCTAACAGCTTATTTATATTCGTTTGTTAGATTAAAAGGTCTGATAATGCACAGATAGTAGAACACATAATCTTTGAATTCTTTTTAGTTAGAGAATTTGGTTCATCTATTTGAGGAGTAACCTCAGAATATTGTTTTAAAACTTTGTAGGGGCCTGAAAAAGTAGAAGAAATTTTTCTGATGTTAGGATATTGAAACTGCTCATACATTATTAAATCATCAGGTTTAAATTATTTGCTTTAAAATGGCTGTCATATCTTTTTTGTTTACATTACGACAATCTTCAGACATTTTCTATGCAATTTTTCTAGCTTCTTCAATTGGTGAATAAAGATTTTGATTTTCGATTAATGGAACATATGGTAACTTTCCGTAAATTATTTAATATAGTTGGAATTTTGTTACAGAATGCGATGTAGTATTATATTCTTCCGTAAAACAATTTTATCCGTGTGATATTACCTTGATACGAATTTAATTAACATTTTAATCTAGTTATTCGTGCAGTAAAATTAACAAGAAATTGTTTACTGTATGCATTCGTTATTAAGACAACCAGCACTCGTTACTATCACATCATTACTCGGTACTTTCGGTACAATCGAGTACTGCTAAGAAGCATCGTTTCATACTAAGTCGCGTCGCATATGACTTCATTCACACTTTGCATATGTTTAGTGCATGTATTATACAAATTTTGTTCACTACTGTGCTTTGAAATATTCTTTTCTAGTTTGAAATATTCTTTTCTTGTTATTTATATTCAGATCTATTTATGTTAACTATTGGTAAATAGATCATAATGATTATAATCTGATACATAAAAAGTATATACTACATTACGTTCGTTTGGGTCGGTCATAACAATGAGTCTGTTAAAAACAATACACGGCAACATTAGGAAAATTATTCGTAGATATAAAAAATTAAGAAAACTAGGAAAAACAATAAACATTTTAAAAACTATGAAATTGCATTAAATATGTTTTTGAAAATTACAAAAATAATTAAATAAAACATCTGAGGAAAAAGAATTTAATATTATTTTTAAAGAAGGAATCTGTAGTTCATATTTAAAAATAAAACATTTTCCATTCGTTTTGATTGAAAGGAGTGACGTTTCTCAGTATTTGGCCTGGCTTTTCAAAAACGTTTTTCGGGTGGCACTGAGGTAGCGATAACCGATAAATACTTGTATTTCTCGGCCAAGCCTGAAAATTTAAGTTACTGTATATTTATATTTAGATGAAATACAGTAATGAAACATTGCAAACTAAATCTTATGCGGACTTCAGGTTCTTGAAGGGGCTGATTTATTCTCTTTTCATTCTAAAAGTAACGCTGATGAACTATGAAAAAGATGCTAAAACGACCACGTCTAAAAGCGGTCATATCATGACGTTTTAGCGACGTCGACAAATTGCCAAAATGCAACAGAAAATATTTTTCGTCTTCGCTACGTTGTAAAGACGTCGTAAACGTTACCACGACCACTTTGCAACTTCTCAGACCAGTTTGCAACGTCTTGTGCTACTTGGGCTAACAATGTTTTTTAATATAGATTTGAATTCTCTTATTTTTTTGGATAGGGGTTTCCTATTTCTGTAATAATATTTGTACTTAAAGTGTAAATAACTATGCTTTCAGTGACAACTATAACCACTGAAACAATGACGTTGTTTTAAAAGGACATTACTTCAGTTAGCTGCTTAAATGGCTTTAAAATTTTGATTACATATGGAATAGCTTGCTAGTCACTTTCTGGTAGATTTTTCAATCGGATTATGCAGGAATCCAAAGGCCGCTTCTAGAAGCTCCTGAAGGATACTCAGTCTTTCCAACATATCCAACGTGCTGTTCCATCTAGTCACTAAGTCCATTTTTAATTTCAAAGGGCCCACCAGCGGCCGAGCGGTAAAGACGCTGAACACTGGTAGTTTGGTCTGAGGTTCGAATCCCGTGATCGGGCTGGCTGCATGGGCGTTTTCGTGGTTTCCCCATGTGTAACGTGTATACGAGCCAGTTTCCTTAGAAAGTCCTCCAAGAAAGGCATCCTCCCTTTAGGCAGATAGCCCTCGTGTGCTTTGCCATAACTGAATAATTCAATTTAATTTCAAAGGATTTCGACCAGGCTTCAATTCCTTCTGCATTGCAGCAAGTTTTCTTGTTGCCACCGCACTTCTGTGGAAATGCTTTCATATTTGCTGCGTTTTCTGTTGCGCAGACAAATATTTTATTTTGGCCGCCCAACCAGTATAGTGGTTAGCGTCGCTGACTGCGATGCCGATTGGCCCGGATTCGAATCCCGGAAAAGGCATGGACGTGTCCGGGAGGGATGGGGGCACTCTAAATATGCTGCGAGCCGAAAGTCCTCTCGAAAGATTGGTGTTAGGGAAAGAGGGGTGGGAGACTCTCGGACCCTTCACCTGTAAGTTAGTACTTAAGGCTAATGCTAACAACAGGCGCAAACTTGCGCTCCTTGCCACGGAGTATTTCTTGGGCTCGGGCTGACTATAGGTCAGACAAGTGAGCATTAGCAGCAACAACAACATATTTTATTTTGTGTATCTCAATGGAATAGCAAGGCACATGATTTATTTTTATATAGTTTTCTTTGTTTTGCTTATAACACTCGAAAGAACCCAACAGTGCAGACTTCAGTTCCCAGTTTAATATATAATGAGCAGTAACGGCCTGATATGAAGCCTTTGCTCACGAAGTCCAACCTTCGGTAGTAATTGATATAAAATTTGCACTCTGCAGTTCTTCTTTTCATCTGTTTTGGACTTCTAGACATATAGCTGCCAGGAAAATATTATTCAATGTGTACCTTCAAGGTATTTTGTAGCCGGTTTCAAAACAATTTAGAATGTCTCTGAAACTTATGTCTTCAACAATAGAAAAAGACTGCAGGTCTTTGATTATCATTTAAAAATCAAATCATTTATTATTTTTTCATACTATACTTACAGGACGTTTAACAAAGTACTATAGGGTGTAAATTAGAATCTGGGTGCTCTTGTTTTAAACCTACAACAACAGCTTCTTGAGATGCTTAGGTTAAGTAGCGTTAAAATGAGTTTGTAAACTAAAGTATCCTTTAAATTTTGAAAGCCTGATTAACATTCAATCGTCCATTTATATGGAGTATATTTTTTAACTAAATTTATTAGAGAGGCTTTTATTTTGCATAATTTATACTAAATTTATGATGCACATTAACACTTCCAAGAAAACCTTGTAATTCATTAATATTTTAGTAGGTTGTAAATTTTAAGCATTTTAATTGCTCAAACATTATATCCTAGAAAATTCATATTTTCTTCAGCAAAGCGGCACTTTGAATGTTTTAATTCATGTTTGATTCTTCACATATTTCAAATACTATTTTAAAAGACTAAATATTCTTCAAAATTCTGGGAGAATACCATGAATGTAAATCTTACATGAAAGACATAATTTAGATCCCACAGCTTCACTTAAAACTTATCATAGAATTATTATTACTATTAGAAAGATATTATAAACTTATGGAACTGGCATTTGTCACGTTTAACGACTGTAAACTCTTTCGTAAATTATATAACTTACTTACAGAATACTGATTTTAATTTGTTCTAGAAACTGTTTCGTTTTCTATATCATTGAATTTTAGACTTCTATTACAAAAATATCATCCGTTTATTACTTTTTCAAATTTCATAGCTTCTGAAATATTCTGTAATTTTAGATTTTCAGACTGATTGAAATCTATTATGTCTTACATATTCCATTACCTATGAACATTTGTATTTACTAATTCTTTATCGTAACACGGCCTCTGATGTTTTTGGAAATATTTCCCTCAAAATTCCTTTATAATATTATGTTAAGGTGCTGCCTTTTATGTACTACGTATTCCGTACGTTTCCTTTAAGAGCAAAAATAACACCCCATGATCAATGATATCTTTATTCCCTTATGCTTTTTATTGTTGGAATATTAATTAAATCTGCACTTCAGGCTTTGTTCCGCTCGAAAGGAAACCTGGACATCACATTGGACGTGTGAGTATCATGCTTCTTTAATTCCTTAATTAGTCATTTTCCATTTATCCTATTCCTTGGTAACACTTTTCTTAGGAAAACAATGAAACATAGGCATAATCATATTTCCTAAATCAATGACTACTTGGAACTCTCAAAATACGCAAAATATGGTGCTCCATAACATTAAAATTTTAAATAAATAATTAAATTTTCCTTTAATTGGAAGAATAAATAAAATATTATAAATATTTCATAAACTCACATGAAGTGCTTTGAAAATGACTAAACTAAGAAACTTCTTTCCCACTTCAACAGAGTGTAAATGATTGATAAAATTCCTCCTCGACATTGAATTTACGGAACATTCTTTTTTTCTGGAGTCTCCAATATTTTAAGCAATTAAATCTGGCATTCGAAAATGCTTGTTCAGAATTTTATAAATTCTATGTTCTGAAAAAAGCTTGGCTGCGTATTTATATCCGATTAAGTAAGATAAACATTAGTCACTAGTATCAGAATTATTGGTTACCGTAAAGCATTTTAAATGTAAATGTGTCTGCCTAGAAACGTAAGATAAATCTGTGGCTCAGTGGCTCATAAGAACTTACATTAAAAAAATTTCTTATCTCTTTAAAGTTATTTTTGACAGTTTTTTTCATAAATTTTTCAGGTTTCATAAGATGTAGGTGTAGGGCACTATGTCCAAGCACCCAGGTACCTTTACCCAGGTTTAACGCCGTTATGCGGAATGATAAAATCTTATATTTAATTTATTGAATCCTTTGGCGTGTAAGCGAAGGCATTTGCAGTTTGTTCAACATATAAAGCAACTCATATTTAATATATAAAGTGACAGGGTAATGGATGGGGTCAAAATTACACCGATAAGTTTCATTTCCCTTTCTAATCTCTTAAGTGACAGATCTTGCGTTGAGGCTTCACCATCATTCGTTTCTTCAGTCCGAACAAAACTTTTCACAGCCCCATTTGCATTATTTATCAAAGTTTGGCTTTATAATTTTATGTTTATTACCAGATTTTTAATAAATCAATTTTTTCACAAATATGAATGTTTGGATAGTAGACGGCAAAGCGTATATCCTTCTTCCAACATCTTCGGCAGTTGAAAGGGCATTCTGTTATATACATTATTAACAAGTTCAAAAGTAAAATGGTAGCAGTTTACCAAGGCATTAGCAAGGGGTAATGCGTACTGAAATTCGTAGATTGTGATGAGCTACAGCAATCCGGTCATAAAGATCAGAACAGATGGTTGTTACTGTAAGCTGGTTGAGTTTCATTCTTTGCGGACAGACATTTTCACTTATTCAACTACCCCGGTCTCATACTTAAGTCGTTCCATCTAATGAGCTATCCCATTTCAATTCTTAAATACACGGTTTCGAAATTTTAACAGAAGGATTCGATTTCCAAAGGACTTCTCATTGAAGTTACCTCTTTCAGTTATATAACTGCTTTTTTAATCAACCGCTTTCATTTAGAGCGAGACACATTCCAGTAGTACGCAACGTTGTTAGAAAGAGTTATCTTGCTACAAATTCTGCTTTTGTCTGACGCCTGTTAACCTGTTGCTTCGATCCGAAAACAGAACTTTCTGCTCTTGAAGTTCAGGCTGGATAATCTTAAATACAAATCTCCAAAAATTTCATATGATAATGTCATCTAAGTGACATTAATACTTTATCTTCATCAAGTCACGTTATCAAATCGATCAAATCATCGTCAAGTACGTTATAAAGTATTGTCTTTCTTCTCCCAGTATGCCTCTGTTTAACGGTAGCACACTCGGCGCGTATTCGAGAAGTCCAAGATAGAGTCCTGGAGCTGGCATTGCACATTTGTTACTTCTTCTGCTTCAAAATAACTTAAAGACTTTACAAATGGCGCCCGCACTAAAAGGTGGTGGACAATAATTCGTCACCACCAGGATGGTGACTGGGTCCCATAACCCCTTGTCGCTCTTTAAAAGGGGAAGTACATGAAGTATTTTTCCCTCTTTTCAGTATACCTTAGTGGCGTAACGGTAGTTCATTCGGCACGTATTCGAGAGGTCCAGGTTCGAGTCCCGGAGAGGCCACTGCACATTTTTCCCATCTCCCGCTTCAAAATAGCCTAATGACTCTACAACATCTAATTAAGAATAATTTATTTTCATTCCAGATTAGAATCAGTTTTAAAAAAGGTAAAGGTCCGCAGCGAATGCGAGCTTCACGTGGACTCTCCAGCAGGTGGAATCTTTGTCACTGGTCTCCGAGATATGAGCCTCAAGTCGACACATGGAAAGGTAAGATGTTTATGCAAAATCTATTTTAAACTCTTATTCTGTGCAATGTAGCAAGCATTAAATAAAAACTAAAAAAATTCGAAATATGGAATAGAACTCCATCGTAAGCTTTGACATATGCTTTAAGTCTCCGGGTTTACTTCTACTAATGTCCGCTTTCCCAAATGGAATAGTACAAAATTAATTTAAATCAACAAACCGTCACGGTGAGATTAATATCTCATATGTGCGTAGTAAAATTAATGCTTCATGTTCATCGAAAAATCCTAGAAATGACCTTGATAATGGGAACCGAAACAGAGCTGTTTATATACAAGCCAGAGATGAAAATGTTGAACACACGCTGTCACAGAACCTTCTTTAGAAATGTGCATCTGAGTGCGATTTCCCATTAATATTCTAATCCACATCATATTGCTGTCACCTCTGAATGCCTGATGCCGGATGATGTTCTGGGCCTCCAGACCATTGCACGATTATCATTTAATTCCTGATTTACTGCACTGAGGGGAAGAATAAAACTTCATGAGTGGTATGACAGTTTTTACTGGTCTTGAGACTTTTTGTCACTTGATTTATATTAGCTTATAATTTAAAATATTTTGCTTTCTATCTTTTTCTTTCTCTTTTTAAAGATGTAAATATCATGTTAATAGAAAGAATTTATGAAAACCGGCACTAAAATAAGCAATTATACAAATTTAACTAACACATTCTATTTAAATACAGTTCTTCATGAGCAGATCCAAAAAGCCGTGCCATTCAGAGAATTAATATTTGCGATGTTTTCAAGCCATTCTTGAAAACAAATTTTAAAAAATGGTATCAAGAGATTATGCCACAAACACTTGCTTCACAAATTCGATTTCCTTATTAGCGTTTTGAAATAAGAGTTTTTGGATTACACGAGGATTCTTTTGACATCTTAGACGATTAAAAAGGAAAATACAAATCACAGGAACTTCGTAATAAAGGAGAGACATTAAAAGATGCATCAAATCTCCCTGCTTTCTGCAGATGGTGGTTTATATCATTGCGAAGATATTTAAGGTTTAATATATAAATCTGCACTGAACGCAAATTAGATGAATAAATATGTTTCACCGATATTTCTAGGACCTGATTACTACCTACGCCCATAAGGCCCAGGTTTAGCGGCTTGAAATTTTAGCACACCTTAAAATCATCGTTTGTATCTCCCAACCCTCTTTTCCTATACAAACAAGGAAAGAAGATGAAAAACCGCTGTGCCTAGGATCCTATATTTTCTTAATCGGGTCTTCTGTGATAAAATGGGTTTGAGCATTTGCAACGTAAAGTGTCCTTTTTCGAAACATCGTAGCAAAAATGAATTAGGCTTCTTTTTAATTTTTAAAACACGGTGTTTAGATGTGTAGAGACATTATGTTATTTCGAAGCCGGAGAGATGAAAAATTAGCAACGCCTTCGCCAGGAATCGAACCACGGACTTCTCAATTACGCGCTGAGCATGCAGACCACTAAACCACGAAGGCTTGCTAAGAAGGCGGGAGAAATACCTTATAGATGGTTTGCCATCGCTGGTCGTAAATTTCTTTACTTTTTTATGCAATTTTGTACACAGAAAAAATGTGGATTTATCCGATGGCAAGAGCTAACATAACCTTTATTTTAATAAACATTAAGTATTTGTCTGATTTTCAGTTAGTATACCATTTAGCAATATTCGACGCATACAGTTCAAAAATTTCTAATTCTTGTTTAATTTGCCAGTTTTATACTTAAGCTACTGAATATTTCTGATTATGAAATGCATTCAACTTATATTTACTTAACATACTCATATTTTATACTGTAGAGTTATCGGATTATAATACCGAACCACTGGAGTTGAATTGAATGCCTCAGATAGTATCTTATGTAAACAGAGTCCAAGCAACAGAATGTGTTAAATTTATTGGGTTGTTACATCATATAACTTTACGTTATGTTATGCTACAAGTAGCATTTATAAGCCATAAAACCTGCAAATCTTGCCATGACAGAAGACTTAAAAATCTATGATTTATCTTTTACGTAACATAACAAATAACTAGTCTCTAGAGTGCTTCTATTCCGCATGAAACAATGTTTTTTATTTAATAAATAACTTGTTCCTAGATTGTGGCCATTCAACATGATATAAAAATTTTAATTTATTTTTTTAAATTTCAACAATGAAATAAACTGAGCGATATAAAATAAATTAACCTTCTTGGTATTTATACTTTTATTTTGCTTTTAATAGTTTTATTAACTGATAGAGTGTATTAACTGCCTCGAATAAAAGACCCCCTTAGATTTTAGGGTCAATTTTATGAAGTAAAAATGTAAGTGAATATCTTATTAGAGTATGGTTTCGATTAGAATTCATTCGACCTGATTAGGATGAAGGATAAGTACTTAATTATGTACAATCTTATCATGATATAAGAAAGAAAAATTAGGAAACATCAGTGATATATTGCTACGTACTTGTTTCGGGTACGCCCGTGGATAGTGCAGTGAATAAAGGGTTAAGAGTAACTGGTGGTTATCCAGTTTATGTATGCGATAATGACTTGAGTATTTTACTGAGTATTTAATCAACGTAATTACACGATGTAGTATGATAACTAAACTCCTTTTTCTAAATTCGCGATTTCATTTCAAAATACTCGTTTATAATACGATATTACATTTTAAGAACAAAAAAATCTGATGTGTACACCACATTATTTCTTGTACGAATATTATTAACACAGTTTTTCTTGCATTTCATTAAACTTATTAAATTGAATTAATCTACTTCTCCGATACTTCATAACCATAATAAAAAATAGCTTTTAAAATTCCCTTTATTTATTACCATGCGAACTCTGGCGCCGTACATCTCATCTTATTCATCTCATCCATTAACAGGTTAATCCATTCATTTATAATCAGAATTGCGCAAACATAATCATTTGAGAATTATCAACGCTGCCACATGTTCTATTCAAATATAGTAATCTAAAGGATGTAAAAAAAACTAACAAATAAAATAAACAGTTTTCCACAGACATTCAGCGGCTGCTACCAATTGACGCTCACGTAAATTTGCCTGTTCGAAACAAGGTTGGGGTGATATTTTTCTCTATATGAAAAACTTACATTTCGCATTTCATTAGAGTTATTCTCATTCAATGAATTCAATATCCCATCGCGGCAAGGGAAAAATATAAAAACACAAAAATCTTCATTAAATTTTAAAGATATAGAAAAAAAATAAAACACCAAATGAGTTAAAAATTTTTTAAAAAACTTTACATTAAATTAAGTTTTATGCAAAAACAAGCATTCGGCCAGCGGGCATCAGACGCTTTTTCGATGCACAAAACTGCAATTTCACTTTGGTCTCATTGGCAAATTTACTTTTTCAAAAAACACTGGACAGTAGAAACTGACTTTATTTGTTGTGGACTCGTTCAATATGGTGATAATTAATAACTTAAATATAATTTCAGATGGATTAACTATTAATCGCAATATTATAAGAAGATTACTTGTCGTCGCGACCTTAGTTTCTCTAGCTTGGCACAAATCCACTATTCTGTAAGATTCATATATAACAATAGGCTGTACTTAAACAAATTAGTTGGCACACTTTAATTGTGATAATTCTACACATAACATGCACGTAACTAAAGGCATAAACATTGAATCCGAAAATAGGAAAACATATTCATCATTTTAAAGCAAAAATGCACATTACAAGACATAAGGTAAGAAACTGAACTCACTGAGCCGAGAACAGAGGGATATATATAAATATGTCAAAAAATATGTAATTAGGTATCTATTTTCATATATCTATGTATATATCGTTTGTCTTTCTACTTACTTTAAATTATCTATAGTAAGAATTTATAATTACTTTTTTTTTTTTTTTTTTTTTGTGTGTGTGTGTGTGGGCGGCGATTGCAACGAAAAGGCGCTGAAGCTAAGTGCATAGCAATCCCATACAAATTTCAACGTTCTAGGCTCTTCGTTTTTTGAATTATAGAAATATTATACTACAGTACATACGTACGGGCGCCACGAAAAAAATCTCTTTTGAATCTATTTTACGTAAATCAGTTTTTTAATTCGTTTGGGGGGAAAAGAGTTCTTTATTCTGTCTTTGCGTATAGATGTCACGCAAAAACATCGTTAAATTGCATTCGATAGCCATCAAAATGGAAATTTTCGTTGAAATATGGTACCCGGAATTTTTCGTGATTACAAAATTTCCTTTATTTCGTACAAGGAAATGAAAACGTAGCAAAAGGAGGGGTATTTTATTCGAGTAAATCATTAATTAACAGTATAGTCAACTGCTGTAATTTATAATTTATCTAAGTAATAATATTACTAACATTTGCCCCATTAAAATAATTATTGAAAGTTATTTCTAGTATTATATATTATTATGTACCACGGCATACAGAGGTTTGGGACTTCATCACAAATATAATAAATATAATAAATCACATAAAGATTTTATTTGTCTATTGTTCTCATCAAAAATGTACTTCCTCTGGATTTCAATGCACCTTTTATAACTTATACTGAAATGATAATTTAGGATTAAAATTTAAATGAATGTTTTGTATTATTTAGCAAATTTTTATTTTATTAATAATACTTTTAAGGTATTAGATATTTAGTTATGCACATGAAAACAAACATTGAATTTCAAATAGAAACTATTATTCTGTAATTCTCTGGAACAAGAATATCAACTTGTTTCTTTATTTTGTTTTTTAGGTAGTCATAGACAGCACACGATTAGAAATGAAGAACCTGAAATTGTCTCGTCAAACGAAGGAAAAAAACTTCCAAGTAGTTTATCAAGTGTGCATGTGTGACAACGGTCGCCTGTTCTTGGCGCATAGAGAAGGCTACTGCCAAATTCATGACTCAGTCTGCAAAGGTTCTGATAGAGGAGATTACCATAAATTACACGAATCACGTTGCACCTTGTCCTGAAACTGTGTTACTGCAAAGATGGAAACTATTTTATTATTCAATTATATGAGCGTAACATTTGGTAAGAAAAGAGCAGCATAAGATTTGCTGGAAGTCTTAGTGCAAAATAAGATCCTCGTGTGTTGAGGGAACAAAGTGCTAAGAAGAAAGCTTAATATGGGTAGGACACAACGGGAAAATTTCTGTGGACACCTGTCATCCACATACGAGGGTTTCGTTTCTTTTTTCTCGGGAGGGGTATAGTCTGTCAACTTCAATATTTGTTTCAAACTCTTTTACTTTACATGAGCTATTTAAAAATAATTTAATTCAGCATATCATTTATATGAAATAATGAGCTTCAGCTAAAGATATCGGAGGAAATTAATTTTCTAAATAATATATATCGAGGAAGCTATGTTAATTAATTTAAAGACCTTTTTCATCCGCACGGCGGTTAAAGCCTCAAAATTAATCCTTATTTTTTACTTATGCAAAACATGTACATGAATTTTCAGTAGTTGGCAATATTTTTATCTTTGCCCTTTCTACATAATAACGGCAAATTGTGAACTTCTAGAATGACCAGTATAATATAGACTGATTAAAATTGATAACATTATAAAGGAAACAGAAAGTGTATATCTTATCATCTAAGTTTATTTCTTTCACTGAATATTGCTGAAAAAATTTAAATGATGTTTTTTTTTTCACATGCTTTCACTTGGCATCACTGTTCACGCATTTTTGAAGCCTCCCTCATGTAGCCTATAGAGTATGGATGCATTGCCTGATGACATAATATATATGACAGCTTTAATTCTTTCACGCATGTTGTCAACATTATGTAATTTCGTTCCATAAATATGTTCTTCGAACATTTCTTTGAACAATCAAAATTCACATGAATGTGGTCAGGCAAATAGATTGTTGAAACTCAACCATAAATCTGTTTATGTTTGGTAGGTGGGATCTTCAAATTTTTGTTCCTAAAAACTTCTGTACAGTCAGTTTTCTTTCTTTTGTTTTAAAATACTTTAGTGATCTTTAAGAAGACCACTCACGGCAACTTCAGTCTTCTATGAAAGCATCACCTTTAAAAAACGGACTTTTAATATCGATATTTATTTATTTTCTCAGAAATACTGTTTACTTATCGCCACGAAAGACTGTAATTTTAACTGTAATTATAATCAGAGATCCGATGTACCTTATTAGAACCACAGTCATATTATGAGACACATTTTAAATGTTTATAAAATTTTAATTATCCTGATAATTTTTTGCTTGGGGCTTTTGTGAATCGAATTGAGGATAATAAATAATGACTTCAAGAAAATTTTTCTTTCTATTAGAGCAGGAAATCCAATCAGTTTATATCACAGTCCTTCCTACTTTTTCCAAAAATGTAATAATATGATCTTAAGGTCAGTAACAAATAAAAAGCGTTTTAGTAAATATTTGCTTATTCAGCAAACTACGTTTTTAGGTATGCTTGTTCAATAAAGTTCTTTATTCAACAAACTACGTTTGTTTAATAAACTATGTGCACAGGACCGTATTTAGATTTGACGAGATCCTAAGCAGTCGAGATATGGGGTCCTTTATAAGGGATATCAGTCAATTTTTTTTATATGGGATATGTTACAATATTTCGGGTGGGGGAGCCCTAAGCTATAAGCTTGTTCAGCTTATACGTAAATCCGGTAATGGGCATAAATTTTCATGGACTGTGGATTGCATTTGCAAGATGATAAGAATCATTCGCTGAAGGCAAGGGTTGACATTGATTCAACATTAACGTATTTTAACTACTGTCATTTATTTTATCATATTAATGATAAAATAATGCTGTGAACTCAATATTCTAAAATAATACTATGTTTAAATAAAAGCGAAGTATGTGTTTTGTAAACACGCTTGGTATGAAGAGCAAAATTGCTGAATAGCGGTTTACAGTGAAACTAATATGTGATCAGAATTATAAATATAGACCACGCTGATTTCTAGATTAAGCAAACATGTCAAGATAAAACTACATGTTAAAGAAGTTGTTGATTATTGTGTAAAGTAAAGGAGTGATATTTTCCATGTGATAGCAGGATAAGTTCTTCATGAATGTGAAAGTCTGATTGTTTAGTATTACGGTTGTATACATATTAAATTTATTTGTAAATAAAAGATGAATTTTGTGTAGTTATAGCTCTCTTTTTATTCACAAACAGTTTTTAACTCAAAATACAAAATAAATAAGAAAGTATTTTAATAACATGATTTATAAGAATAAAAAAATATTTCAATTTGTGAAATAAAAAAATTACTGGCAGTAATATTAAAAATACATATTTTCATACATTCGAACAAAACTCGTAAAAATTTTCAGTTAAGAAACTAATATGGAAAAATAGAATTATTGATTAACTCAAGCCATAAGCAGTGAAATATTTTGTAAAAAGCTTATATCGTAACGGCTGGATATTTCCAAACTTGCAAAAAATTATTTAGATGAATCTAAAATCAAAGGAGTGATTTTTTGCTTATTTCACTTTATTGTTCTTGATTTTATGTCAATGATTAATTGTGACTTACGTTATTTTTTACAATTAAAATGAAGAATTTTCAGTTATTTTTATATTAGGCTTCTTATGACAATAATAGTGTTGCGTGCGTACGGGTTCGTAATAGATTGAATGCACAAGTCTGATGAAAGGTTAATAAGATTTATTCTTAACACAAGAAATAAAACAAAATGCTGAAATTTTTCCTCACAGATATCCGTACAGTATCAGAATATCACATAGTATCTATATTTTAAACTAGTAAAACGTTAAATAGAACGCAATCCAAAGTACAGAGAAAACTAATCCGATCTCACCACGAATTCGCTACAATCAACAACAAAAGCTAGTAACAACTAAACTGAGATGTTTTTCCTCCGGCTTTTTATAAGCTTTTACTCATGCACGAGATCATTCTGGTATTTTCTCGAACTTTCTGGAAAGCAAAAGAGTACAATTAAGAGACATCTATTTATTAAATTTTAAATGCGCGTACTCCTGTATTTTTACTTTTTCGGCGTAGTTTTCTCTTAAAACTCGTCACGCACTGCATTCCACGGGAAAATAAAACAATTTAATTATAACGCTACTAAAAATAGCAAATTAAATATATAATCCGTAACAATAGTTTTCTGTGTGATCTCAGTTTTTTTTAAACGAAAAAATAAAAGTTAAACTTAGACTCAATTTCGAAATAAACTGTTAAGTTACATACGTATATATAATCAAAAATGAATAAATATCAAGAGAAATTGTTGGTTGATTAGTTGTTATAATAACTAGAGCTAATTTTGAAAAAGAATGCTTTGATGATAGACTTTACATAAATATCTTTGTTTAATTTCACATTTGAATTACACATTCAGTACCCTTCTCTTTACTTATCACATCAAAAGAAAGAAGCGATGTCTTCGGCAACCAACAAGGCATTAAAATTGAAATTTTTTATATCTTTTTTAATGATTTTGGATTTCAGTTGAAGAATATGAAAAGTTTAAAAACAAAGTTGCTTATTTATTGTTACAGTTTCCACTTCATATTTTATTTTCTACTTTTTATTTTGACATATTCTCATTATTTTCTGTTCTCCTTCATATTCTTAGTCCTTATCGCTGAAATAGAAAGTTTTCTTTAACTGAATAAACATAAATTTAAATAATAAGCACATAAATATTTATAAAAACTTTAATTTATTTTAACTTGAGACTGGGTTCACAAAATTTTAAGCAAAAGTAAATTACTGTGCAATGCAGTTAGTCAACACCATGTAGAATTCCAAACAAATACTGATCTATAATAATATATATTACTTATATAAACACTTGGAATTATACGCGTACTTTATTTTAAACCGATTATATATTTATCTAAAATAATTTATACATTCCTAGCGTATAAATTGTTATCATGTCTAGGCTTTCCTAGACAAACAGTCTTCTGGGTGAATATTATCCTCTCCCAGCAGCGAAGTTTAAATCTTTGACACCTCATGAAGTTAACACAATAAAAAGGAATAAAGAGATAGCTCACTACACTAGCAATCAGAATTATTCACAATTCAGAGAGCCTCCAACCTGCATCCTAATCTAAAGAAATCGCTAATAATTTTAACCCGAATTTTGGAAAGATTTGTATTTATAATCCAGCAAAAGCATTCATTAAAAATAAGAACTTAGATCAAATCTACGCAAAACGAAAGTTGCTTCTTTGCCTAATATTTAAGAAATCGGGTATTGCATTTTCAGTTGACCTGAATCACCAGTATCCCCTCGAAAGCGGTCTTAAATGTTACGCTCTTAATTTTCTAGTAGAAAGAATTTTGCGTTTCAAGCTTGTGTTTATGTTGAAACTTAAAATTATACTTTTCTCTACATTTGTTCTAATTTAAATAGACTCTTTTAAAAGTGTAAAAAATGTGGAATTATTTTTTACATATTTTTTCCATATTGGGTTGAGAAATTGAACCTCAAAATTCAAAATTTTTATTCGGTACTTCATTTATTAAACTGCATTTATATCTTTTTAATAAATATAAATGTATTTTTAAAATTGTCGTTCTTTGATGTGAAATTAACTTCAGATGAACTCTGAGACTAACGAGTGAAACTCAGATGTACCTTAATCTAGTTTCTAGGTAACGGCTTAACTAAAACCACAAACACATCAGAATAAAATCCAGATCGAATATTGTGAAGCCACTCCTGGATTTACAATTGAAACTACAGCATAGCCCAAAGGGATAACTTATCGTACTATACGTGTAGCAGAGACGAACCTGCTTGGCCATGGAGGTAACATTTAAATATTTACGAAACAAAGGATCAATCAAACATAGAAATCTGATTTAAAGGTAAAGAAATGGTTGGTCCGCACTACAGCTAAACTCAGCTTGGCTACTTAGCTCCCAACATGAACCAGTTTTCATTTATCATCAGCGCTGCTTCTCTTAAACGATTTCAACAAGAACTAGTTTTCAGTGAGACAGCGGCTAACATTTCAATAAGTAACAGTTACCTTTTATATAATCATACTTTTAAGTACTACCGTATGTGTTTAAATGGGGAAAACTTTCTGGTCTGAGCAAAGTATGTGGCATGAGCCAAGAATGATGAGGTAGCATTTAATTCATAATTTTGATGCTAAAATAAGCTACGATTAATTGTCAAAGCTTTAATTACAAACTTTTAAAATTAAGTGAAAGTTACTTTTCTTCTTAATATTGTCATTTTTATATGAATGATTCGAGATATTCGAGAAATATTACGATTCGTCTCTTCTCTGCTTCAAACGTTTAGAATTAATGAAATTGATGTTAATGATGGACCTACTCAGGTAGACCGGAAGAATTTGAAAACTTTGGATTGTAAAGAACATAAGGATGCAATTTAACTCCCCCCTCTCTCTCTATATATATATACGTATATACATGTTTTTAATATGCTAAATAAATATTAATAAACTGACAAACTTTAGAGAGCACATGATAGAGTTTAAACTGTGTAAGAGATTGCCATGTTTAAATGATCAATAATCATGAAAGATTATTTAGAATCTTCCATGCCGTATATATACTGACGAATATGCGAGATATCTTTTCTAAATAGAAAAAGAATAGCTACCTCTTGAATTCTTACAGAAAGAAACACTTAAGCGCTTAAGGCAGTGTCTGGTTCTTGGTGAAACAATGTTTTTTCTATTAAAATAGAACAAGAATTTTGCTGATCGCGCCGAAAGATGATTCATTTTCCAGATGGTGGAATAGTAGCAACTTCAAGTTACTTTAACTGTGCCTGGATTGGAGTTGAAAGGGTTCGCAAAAATATATTAAACTTTAGAACAAAACACGAAGAAGCATAAAAAATAGTAAGGGAAAGTTCGGAGGATGGACTCTTACACGCTTTAGGGAAATTTTTCTTCGGGGTAAATTCACCCAGGAACAATTTATACGCAAATGTTTCTGAAACAGGAAAAATGTGGGGGAATGATGAGTTTTAAGATAAAACACGATTTAGGGATGCTGCAGAATTTTCTGGATTCTGCTTATATTAATGTATAAAGATTCGAAATCATTCTACTCTCTTTTTCTATATGCTCAAGTCAAAAAATAGAAAAAGCTGGCTGTTAGTTCAGTTTTAAAAACTGCATATCGCAATTTAAAAAAGGTGAGAGAAGTTAAGTTCTAATTATACTGTAATTCTTATTACTGTATGAACTTGAAAATTCTATAATTCTTATTACTGTATGAACTTGAAAATTCTATAATTCTTATTACTGTATGAACTTGAAAGGTTTAGCGCGATCTGCACTTTAATATTTTAAATACTGATATTGTATGCGCTTTAATTTTACATTAAAAACAGGTTATTAACACTTCAAGTTAACCTTTTTCCAAAGCATTGTCAGTAACAAATTTTTAAACACATGGAGTGTAAAATCTAAGTGTTATATCTTGAATTTCTGCTCTGTTAACTATCAAGTTAACTGCAAGTATTTAGCTTGAAAATATTTTATGCTTTATACTGTAATTAGCACATGAAGATTAAACTGCAAATATTTCAAAGTTTATGACTTTCATATTCTTTAAATATTTTATTACAACTTTGAAACTTTAATGACAAACATTTGAGTGGTTTAGATAGCAGTATGAAATTTTTAAATTTTACGAATGAGACATTGTTGAAGTCAATCCGATAACTTCTTATATATTAAGCCTAAAAAGATTTTATTTATATTAGAACACGAAATACGCGAGATATCTATTGTAAGTTCTGACGTTTGAAGAATTTTATCATCTTCTTATCGATCATTTATTTACCAACATATTACCTCTCATTATGGATTTATGTAATATTGCAGAAATATTTATTGAGCAAATATTATTGATTATGTATGTTGATTTGTAATGAAAAGGAAACTTAGAAGGCGAAGCAGAATTAATACTCATTTTTATTTTCAATTGACATTTGTTGTCGCAATTCACTTGGCACTCTGATCGTGTATGATTCAAAACATTTATATTTTTGATGTCTTTGGGGTAAAAAGAGAAGCAAAAAGCAGCAGTCTAGCTACGCCGAAGTGCAGAAAGCGAGTAGTTCTCTAGAAGGAAATCTTATTAAGAGAAAGGTTTCGGTATTGGAA